TTCCTTCCTTCCTTCACTTTCCTTCCTTCCTTCCTTCCTTCCTTCCTTCCTTCCTTCCTTCCTCCCTCCCTCTCTCTCTTTCTTTTCTTTCTTTCCTTCCTTCCTTCCTTCCTTCCTTCCTTCCTTCCTTTCCTTTCCTTCCTTCCTTCCTTCCTTCCTTCCTTCCTTCCTTCCTTCCTTCCTTCCTCCCTCCCTCCCTCCCTCCCTCCCTCCCTTTCCCTTTCACCTGTTTTTGGTCCACTGTATCAAGAAAATGGCGAATTCATATTCTAAAGAAAAACTATTCATGATCTACAGGTTTGGGTCTCCCCCTCCCCCCCCCCCCACAAGATGAAACGAAAACTTAAAAGATTGCCGTATTTTGGATCTCTGTTGAGTTTTCTCCGTTTTAGTCAACTGAATGTTCACATGAATTTGAGTGCTGTGTTACTGTGTTTGTACCTGGGTGAGGAATTCGACGGCCACACGCCCTGCCCTCTCTTTGTTACGGCAGAGTGGACAGGAATAATTACCATCCACGTGAAGGAATCCGGGAAGGAACAGATACCACATTAAAGTATCTGTTATGTTGTAAATTCTGAGGTAACATGGAGTCATTGTAGAGAAAACTTTTGAAATTTGATATTATCCTCAAGTTAACAATGAAAGCCGTCTAGAATTATACACCAAGTAATACTTTAACCAAATCTAGAAAATAAATACTGATTATTGAAAATAAATCCAAACTGAATTGGGCTGATCCGATAGAGACACAAAAACCAACAGAAATCTTTTTACAGAAACTGCGAAAATTTTTCTCGCAAATGGGAAACTGCAATTCATAGCAAAATTGCTATTTCATTTTGGACCGTTGGTACTCACGAAGATCTTTTTTTTTTTTTAAAGTCATTTATTTATTTTGAGAGAAAGAGTCGGGGAGGGGCAGCAAGAGGGGCGGAGAGAGGATCCCAAGCAGGCTCTGCGCTCTCAACACCGAGTCCCATGTGGGGCTCAAACTCACGAACTGGGAGATTGTGACCCGAACCGAAGTCAGACCCTCAGCCAACAGAGCCACCCAGGCGTCCCTCACACAGACCATCTTGAGCCCACTGAGCATGGCGTTGGCTGGTGAAGGTCCTTTCCGTAGAGAGTGTATTCTGCAGCATGGGGTGCTGTTAGCAAGCAGGTCACCTCCTCTTCTTTGCTCCACAGGCACTGCCCAGACTCCAGGCGCACCTTTACGAAACGGTTGATGCTGGAGAAACACATCCAACTCATGCATGGTATTAAGGATCCTGACTTGAAAGAAATGACAGAAGCCACCAATGAGGAAGAAGCAGAAATAAAAGAAGATACCAAGGTCAAACATTGCAAATGTTCTCTTTACAGTGAGATTGTATTGACTTGCTTTTTGCCATTCATTCTCTTCATTTTAATTTTTCTGCAGTTACACAAGATTATGCCCAAAGCTTATAAAGTAATAGGTCAGCTCCCTGTATCCCCATTCTGGTCTTTTCATCTTGCTCCTAAAAGGTATTAAAGTTTTTCTATATCTTTCCAGAAACAGCTCGAGGGAGCTACATACATATAGAAATGATAAAATTTTATGTGGACACTCAAAATTGGCTCTTAGCCAGAAGGAGTGTGGAAAGCTAGATTCTTCTCTTGTTGGCAGTATGTCAGTTGTGAAAGGTACCTAATAAAAATTAAGAGATTCTCCTTAAGTTTGCTCCGTGATGGTAGAGATAAAATCCTAACTCTCTGCCTTGTTCTTAGGTCAGTGGCTAGTGAACTTGAATCAGACAGCAGTGTATATATAAACGTGTGTATGAGGCACATGTGTGGCAAGTGCGATCGGCAAGACAGCAGCTTAGACATTTAGGAGGTGTCTGCTGTCTTTGGCCCTGGGCTGTGTCCGGAAGGTACCTGGGTATCTGTGTGTGCGCGTGCAAGGAGTTGATCGTTGAGTAAAGCCTAATCAGAGCACAAGTCATACTAGCTTCTCATTAGTTTGTGATCTTTTCCCCTCTAGTGATGGGGGTGGCGTGGGGGTGGGGATGGGATTGAAGGATGTAGTGCAGGGGCAGCTCCAGGTCCCGGCCGTTTCTGAGTGGTGCCCTGTCAACAGGGCAGAAAAGATGGGCCGCAGAGCAGGGAGGAGGGAGTGTCCCTCTGGCTTGGGCTTCTGGCGAGCTGGAAAGGAGGGGATGTAGTGTGGCTCAGATTGAGACAGATGGGGACGCAAGGGGAAGAGCGCGCCAGGAAGCGGCGTGGGTGTGCGAGAACGCTGGGCTCCTGGGCCAGCGGGGGCTCCCGCAGCCCCCCATCTGGGTCTCGGGGAACGAGGGGCCCCGACGTTTCCCCCGCCTGCACCCTGCCTCCTGTCCCCCCGCGTGGTCACGGCTGGGCGCACCGGCCTCCCTGCTGTCCCCCAGGCCGGCGCCCTGTGCCTGGATGCCTGCCCGCAGCGCAGCAGGCCGCTGTTCAAGTGTCGCCGTCGCCGAGGCCATCTCTGACTGCATCCCCCAGTCACCCCCCTGCTTCCCGTCCCCACTCGGTGCGCTGCTTTTGTTTTCCCGGCCGCTGCTCGTACCGCGTCCTGCTCCACGGAGGCAGGGAATTTGCTGCTGGGCCAGGCGGCCGGAGCTGGTAGCTAGGAGCTCGGTTCCCACGTGTGGAGCGGCCGCGGGGGCCGCGGGGGTGGGGGGCAGACGGGCCGCCGTGGGAAACCCCGAGTCCCGGAGCTCACCCGCCGGCCCCCCGCGGGGCACAACGATTTTCACGCGTGTCGTCCGCTGTGTTCTCCCCCCTCCAAGGTTCCCAGCCCCAAGCGCAAGTTGGAAGAGCCCGCCCTGGAGTTCAGGCCTCCCCGGGGGGCGATCACCCAGCCGCTGAAGAAGCTGAAGATCAACGTGTTCAAGGTGCACAAGTGCGCCGTGTGCGGCTTCACCACCGAGAACCTGCTGCAGTTCCACGAGCACATCCCGCAGCACAAGTCGGACGGCTCCTCCCACCAGTGCCGCGAGTGCGGCCTCTGCTACACGTCGCACGTGTCGCTGTCCCGGCACCTGTTCATCGTGCACAAGCTCAAGGAGCCGCAGCCCGTGTCCAAGCAGAACGGGGCCGGCGAGGAGCAGCAGCAGGAGAACAAGCCCGGCCGAGAGGACGAGGCGCCCGACGGCGCGGTGTCCGAGCGGAAGTGCAAGGTGTGCGCCAAGACGTTCGAGACGGACGCTGCCTTAAACGCCCACATGCGGACCCACGGCATGGCCTTCATTAAGTCCAAAAGAGTGAGTTCCGCCGAGAAATAGCCACAGACCTTCCTGTAAGGCCGATCCCTGTCCACATTGGAATCAAAGAGACATTTTTGTTACAAAAAAGTTTGCAGTATAATAGAGTTAACAGTACTGTCTAGGCTGTTGCAATATATTCTCTTCCCGCGTCCCTTCCCTGCCGCGTCGTGGATCTCCTCCCCCTCCCCTCCTCCCCCTCCCCTCCTCCCCCTCCCCTCCTCCCCCTCCTCCCTCCTCCCTCTCCCTCCTCCCCCTCCTCCTCCTCGAGAAGTATGAACACAGTATTTGAGTTTCAAAGAGTTTGTATATATTTAAACGAATAACTTTTTATACTCTTTGTTACATGTTTGTATCAGTATTTAGTGGAAAATGTTTTGAGGTTCTCTTTTCTTTATTCGGTCTTGTTTTGTTTTGTTTTGTGGGTTTCTTTTTTGGGTTAGACTTTTTCTTTTTGTACCGTTTCTTTAAACACCGAGTTCTTAGTAACAGGGGCAGTTGCTGAATTCGAATAAACCATTTTGTATGTTACAGATTTGAATGGGTTAACTAATTACAAGGCCGAAATGATGCCTTTTTTTAGTGTTTTTAATTTTTAGACTTCACTACATAAATTGTAGGTATCGTGGGTCTCACAAACACTAGGGACTTTTAAGTGTCTTAGCGCTACCCTCAACGTGCCTGCTCTAAGCCCGCGAGTGCACCTGTCCCGTGCGACCACGCTCCGGCATCTGGCATTTTCTTCCAGGCCACGCCCGCCGGTGTTTAAAGCAGCCTGCAGGTAGCTTCCTTCCCAGTGATGGACAAAAACCGTGGGCCCGGTCTCTACAGGAAAGAGCGTGGATTTCCTCAGTTCCATTCTGGGACAGGGGAAGAAGGGCATTGCCGAGGGAACACCGGGGGCCGGTGGTTTTTCTGGGCAGATCTGCGAGGCTGGCTGAAAGAACACAGGAGACCAAGTCACAAAAGGGCTGGACTACTGTAAAAGTGACACGTAATGTAGTTAGACCAGTAGATTTCTAGAGTCGAGTTTTTGTCATGTAACTTATTAACTATTACAAAGACACAACTCAAAATATCAAGTATTTCTCTGGCTCTTGACAGGAAAAAAGAAAAAAAGATATCCCCGTTGACTTAACCCTTTGCTGTCTAAAGAGTTGGCGTTTCCTGTTCCGGGGTGCTACTGCCAGACATTCTGGTACTTGGAGTTGAGATGCACAACCTCCACCATCGACCTATCAATGCAGCAAACCCGCGTGTCGTGATTGGCCGTTCGATCACGCGCGGAGCCGCCCAGCTTCAGTTCGGTCATTTCAATAAGTCTCTTAATATCAGCAGTTCCGTTTTACTGATCGCACAGCAGGGGTGGGTACTCCTCTGTCCCTTCCGTTTATAGTTCTCTGGGAGAGTTCTATTTTTCAGTTGTCGTCGTCGTGTTTCCTTTGGCATTTTATATCTTGTATTTATCCCTAAACATGTTTTGTACTTTTTATTTTTAAGAAAAAGGAATTCCGTTTGTGTATATAGAGATACTTGCATGATATACTGTAGTCAACGTTCGGTTCCTCAAAAGGTCTTGCTGCTGTCCGGTGTTATGCACTACATCCATCATAACTGTATTAAACACATTTCATATGTAAATAAACATGGGACATTGGCCCTGGCGCTTCTGTGAGAGAGTTATTGATGGTGGGTCTCTGACATCCTCATGGAGTTTAGGAAGTGATTAATGGCAGGGACAGGACTACGGGAGATTCCAGAACTCCTCCCCCCTTGGAGGAACGGCATGTGCGTTCTCATTAGCACTCGGCTCTTCCATCGCCTTCTCGTTGACTCCCATCGATCTGTGGGTATGATGCAAGGGCGTGATTCAGTATTCCCACCCTTCAAGTCTGATTGCTGTTACTCATTCTCTTTATACTTGTATTGCTCTAAGCTGTATCCATAGCACTTTCCTGTGTTTCTGCATTTGAACCTTGCAATAAACCTGTGTGGTGGACCGCACGGGTCTCAACGGTCTAGTTTTACAGTTGAGGAAGCCGAGCTCCGATTCAGTTCTGTGCCTGAGCCCTCACAGCTGGTAAGTGGCTTTGCGTATTAGAACCCAGACGCTCTTGCTCTAAATCTTAGCGCTCGTTCTGTGTTTATGTACATATCGACAAATACTCATTTATGGAATAATAAAAAGTATGTGCAAAACATGACACTAGAAGTTTTGTTTGTGGCGCTATATGGCTTTCTTAAGATCGACAACTTTCTTAAGAAGTCTGTCTACTCTTAAATCCCCAGAAATGCTTGCTCATGTAAAGTTAGCGTCTATAAATACCTAGCTGGGCAACCAAGAAAGCTTCAAAAAATGTCCTGAGATCCAAAAGGAAGAAGCAATAGAAATTCAGAGTAGAACAGTTCCCAGGCTGTAGTCACGGGAGAGTGTCTGGATGACGCAGCCGGAGAGCAGACGGACCGGTGAGCTGAAGATGGGTCGTGAAGAAATGACCTGGAATAGAGCACGCAGGTAAGGAGATGGAATCTCTGGATGAGATTCGAAGTCCAGAAGGACAAAATAACAAGATTCACAGGAGTTCCAGAAAGGGGGAACAGAACTGGGGAGGGCCTCTGTGGAAAATTCTTGGGGGTCACATGGTGAACGCTGAGCAGAAGAAGCCCACAGTGGGACTTGTGAGTTCTTCCCAGTCTTCCTTAGCAGTAGATCTGGAGGCGGCTGTGGATGGGAATGCGTTTGGGAACCAGGATACATTCAGACCAAAGGCAGAAATAGGGGGCCTGCTCCGTGAATTCCTCAGAAGCCCGTTTCCTCTGTGGGGTAGGGAGGCGGAGCTGAGGCTTATGGGATAGGCTCAGGCCACCTTGACGGAAGGGCTTGTGCTCTAATCACGGATATCTGCACGGGGCGGTGCTATAACCAGACTGGGCGGTGGCAGTGTTTAGGACGGGTGGTGGAGGAGTGGATCAATCAGGACAGGTGAGATTATGCTGTGGTTACAACCGCAAGGCTTAGGTCTTGGTCACCTTTGAAGTCCGTTGTGGGCTGACTGGAGACATTGCTCCAGATCTTGTCCGCTTATCCCACTGTCACAAAAGTTGCCGGTTCCTGTGGCAAAGGGAAAGTGCAGCTAAATGCTCCGGCCCAGAAGTGACAGATGTTCTTCACAGCTCATTGGCCAAAACCAGTCACACGGTCTCACCTCCTCACAAGGAGGCTGGAAGTACACTCCTACCACGTGCTCATAAGATGGGAGGCTGCACGAGCGACCACCAAGGACCGACGTTTACATTGGTATAGACATGGTGCCAGTCCAGCCATCATCCTGAGGACTTAGCCCAGGGTGCCCAGGGTGGTGAGGGTCCGCCTGGAAGGAAGCTGTGCTTATCGGTGGCATTTCAGCAGTAGCACCAAGAGTATTCCGTGCCGTGGAACACAAGTGAGGAAGCAGGAGTCTGACTTAAGTATTTCTTTCAAGGTTTAGATTACTTAAATAGAAATATGGAAGCCCAAATTACAGCTGGTTTATGGGAACGTTTGCACTTTAGATATACGTGCAAGATCCGTTTTTGTCGGAACGTGTGGTTGGATGGTTTTATTTGATCAATAATTGAGTAACAGTAATACATAAAGAAGCCTGCCAACAAGGTGACGAAGACTCCTAAAATGAGAGCAAGGATGTCCACTTAGACTTCGTGGCGTAGGCCACTTCTCCCTCCCAAACACGCTCCTGCCCCAGGAAGTATTCCAGAGAACGACTGTTCCCCCTCAAAGCTCTGGTGGGCGCTTCTCCAGGCCAGGGGGCTAGTGAGTTCTGTCCTAGGGTCTTTGACCAACAGGGGAATTTACCTTACCGTTGGAAACTTTGGCCAAGATAAACGTATTGTTTCACAGTAATACATTCATCATTCTGTGAGCACTGGTCTTTTGTTTTTAGAGAGAGCAGGGGAGAGGGGCAGAGGGAGAGAGAGAGAATCCCAAGCAGGCTCTACACGCTGTGAGGAGCCCGACACAAGGCTCCATCCCACGGCCCTGGGATCATGACCTGAACCAAAACCAAGAGTTGGGTGCTCAACGGACTGAGCCACCCAGGCGCCTTTTTCTTTTTCCCTTTTGACATCCAAGCAGAAAGGGGGGCGGGGAAGAAAATGCAGTTGAAGAACTTCGTAAAATAAAATATGACTCAGTGGGACCATTCAACTATCCAAAGAATGGTCTGAAAATACAGAGGGATGTGCTGACTGTGGAAGCTGCTTGTGCCGTTTATACATGTTACACGAGTCCACGCTCCCCTGGGAATCAGATGCTGTAAGGGTCCCATATTGGAGCTCTTTGTCCTAAGTGTACATTTTCTAAATAAGAACCTCGGGTTGTTACCTTAAAAACTTGGCTCCTGAGGTGCCTGGGTGGCTCAGTTGGTTAAGTGTTCGACTTTACTCAGGTCATGATCTCACAGTTTTTGAGTCTGGAGCCTGCTTCGGATTCTGTGTCTCCCTCTCTCTCTGCTCCCCACCCCCCATTCGCATGCTCTCGCGCGCTCTCTCTCTCTCAAAAATAAATTTAAAAAAAATTGGCTCCTAATCTGCTCAATTCACTCTTTGCTTAAATGGACCCTTGAATGTTCTTGTTTACTCTGAGTTTCTTTTTGCAGTTAGGAAGCTCCTATCCCTACAGAGTTCCTTGTAAACTTCTGGAATAGGACAGTGTGCACTTAGATCTTTGCAAAGAGCCTCTCTTTCTTGTGCCAGAAGCTTCTGGACTAGCCAGTACTAATTCCATCATCACCAGCACCCCCAAACCTCTTATTTTGAATAGCCCAGCCTTGGACCACATGACTTGGCTAAGAGGCTGAATCTGAAATTTGGCTACTGTCAGTTTTCCCTGTAAAACAGAACATTCTCTTTTCACATCCGTTTTTCCCTCCTACTGTCCCAATAGATTTTGGTGACCATTTTAGCAGACTCAATACATTGGATGATAAAGCTGTCACCATCTTAGCCTGTGTTTTTCTGGGAGTTTGCTCATTTCTATTCACTGTCTTTATTGGAAAGGTAGATCTCGGAGTGCCAGGCACTAGGTCCTTTATGAATTAAGCTCTCAGCAGGACACAAACAGCACACTGAGAAAAGTTTAACTTCAGAGAAGTTAAGGAAGGGATTAGCACAGAGGGTGGGCTATATAACAAGTGAAATGGAGGCACCCAGGGACTTAGCAGTGGTGGGGTGCCCTTACCACCCTCAGGTCTGCTGAGCAGGGCCCCGTCTAGAGCCATGGAACAGGGTCTGCGATCAGAGCCATGGTGAAGCGAGGAGGGTGTGGGATGGAAATTCTAGGAAAGCTGTTGCCACACAAAGATTTCCTGCCATCACCTCCCACTGCCAAAGCCAAATAAAAGCTAGAGGACAGAAAGCCCCAGTAATCTGTACTATCAGCATGCGGGGCACAGAGCGGGACAGAGAAGGATGCAGGACGGATCTGGGGTATGGAAACATTATGGTGATCAGACACCTAGCACAAGCTTTCAGAAATGCCTGCTCTGTGCTTCTTTTATTGTCTACATGCATTTTGTACCCTGTAGGCTGGCTATTAGCTGCAACAGGCTACTTTGGGTTCCACACTGACTTTTTCTAATTACTTTTCCAGGTTTATCCTGGAATTATACCCTTTCCTTAGTGATTATTTTTACCTAAGGAAACAGAATAGCGTTTCCCAGAAAATATTCTTTGCTAGTTTCCAAATTCAATTTACGAGGTTAGCTCTGACTCATAAAACAGCGCTATTTATAATGTGTCCCAGTATTTAAGGGAACTGATTATTCAATTTGCTTCGCTGTTTTGTCACAGGCTGCTTTTTCTCGAGCTTTCCTTACAGTTATAATTGTAAATTACACTACATGGCAGTTCTGTTTTTAAACACAGTCCTTAGCAAGACGATGTATTTGTCGGGGGGGGGAGGGGGAGGGGCTCCATAATTACAGCCCACTGCATCCCACCTCCAACTCAGTTCCAGAAAGTGTGGGTTTAGTCCAAGAGTCATTTTCTGGCCTTCATGTCAGGTCAAGCCAAGTTTAATTTGGTTGGGTATTTCTGGATAATAAGCATCTTTTTTTTTTTTTTTTTTTTTTAAGAGCAAGGCAAACACAGATCTGCTGACCAGAGAGGGTGGCATGATGTCAGAAGCAAGTGGAGCCGCATATGTCAAAGGCAGTGACCCAATCTTGGAAAGGGTAAAAGATGTGTCTCTAGGTAGGGATAATAGACATTTATCTTGGTTTCATCACTTCCCCATCGACCCCTTTCCAGGGTGGGAGAGGCTGCCGTGGCTTGAGTCTCAGCAAGAGATGGGTCTTCCCTCCCTCTCTGGAAACCGCAAGGTCACCCTCCCCCCAAACATCAGGCACCAAATGGCCGCCACCTGACGAAAACGATGCTTCTGCTTTGTTGACCAAGCGAAAGACACAGAGGAGCAGGGACGCGTGCAGTGTCCTCACTCTGGTGGCATGGCGGCAGTGGCGTTCCTCAGTGTCGCTTTTTACCGGGGAACCAGTCCGCCTTGAGGCAGCTGCTGAATTGTTTTGGATCCGGGCAGTGCTAACATCGTGCTGGGACATTTTCAAAGCCTAGACTCTCGCTTCCCTCTGAGTAAGACACCATCAAAGCAA